CATGGAACCGGACTAAAATTAAAATTGTCTCCATCTAAACGGGAACTGTTTTGCATTTGGACAAAACATATCGGTATAAGAGCTGTTGTATTGCATTGTAAATAAATCATCTGAATTTTTCAATATATCCATTTGTTAACTTTTAGAAACTAGAAAACAAGTTTTGAAGAAATTTAAATAAACATATCTTTTAAAATTTTGTGCCTTTTCTTGAGAGATGATTTGGATAGTTCTGTGCGGACATAGTTGCGGCTTCAAAAACTTAAATAACCATCTTTTATATAGAATCAAAGTGCTGAAGGCACTGCAGTTGGGACGTATGAAGGATCAAATAACTATTTTTTCTATTTCGGGGCAGATAATTCAATGAGTGAAGGTTGTTGCCGGTTGATAAATATAAAGTGCACAATTCAGTAAATGAACAGTAGTTGATACAATTATTCTATGACACACATGTTCAAATATAATATTTAGGTTACATGTACGTGTAGGTCGATCATAAACCGTTATTGGCCTTTTTTGACAAGAGCAACAAGTGAAATTAGAGCTACCAGAGGAAACTGCAAGCTTGACTATTTTAACACATGACATTATAAAGGGAGACAAAGCTATGAAAAAATAATCAATTGTGATATATATCAAATTTTTTGTATCAGTATCAAGTAAACACTCAAATGGTCAATATTTTTTGCATCACATTATATGAATGTGACCATGTCATTAGAACTTATAATGGCCTTTGTTTACTGCAATTCTCATGCTAATCTCTTTCACTGTATAACGTTTATAAAGTTTCAATCAAATTCCTTCAATATTTTAATCCTCTCTCAGAACAGTATCATGAAATATATACGGAGATAATTCAAAAACTAAGTAATGTAGAATTTTGGTTATTTGACACAAGACTTCTGCTCACTAGTCTCTACAACTGTATTTAGTTTGAGTGTGATATCATTGAAAAGATTTACTCCAGACAACCATTATTTTAAAAGTTGTTGTACATGTATTTTAAGAGATGATAATTGTAAAATTAAGCTAGAAACTAGAACTCCGCGAGTCGGATGTGTCGCCTTGTGAACAATGTAGTTTAGGAGAAATGGCCAGGACAAAAATGAAATATGAAAAATAACAAAGGGCAATAACTAAAAAAACAAGCAATTATCATAGTATTGCAAGCAATCCATAAGTCCCCTACCGGTTAGAACCCCATCAACATTCTGAAGGGCCATTCACTAATGTTTCAATTTTTCTCTATTTTAAGGAAATTTGTTGGAAAAGTTCTTTAAAAGTGATCACAGGAAACAGTTTTTATGAACAGACAGACAGACAGACTGAAGGACACTCTAAAGTTAATATTTGAAACATCCCTGTTACCAAAATATAACATTTTAAAAGCAAAATTCTTAAACAGGAGATAACTCTTGTATTAAAGATGCAATTTCATAAAAAAAATTCAGCTCTATTTGACTAATCACAAATATTGTTATATTTGCCATGTTTTAAGCCTATTTGTTGCCAAGGCAACTGATATTTTTTCAATATAGGAAGAACAGATAAGACATGCATAACCTCAAGACTGCCATCTACCCATATGTCAAGTTTCATAAAAATATTTCCAGTACTTTTTGAGTTATCACTGGATTTAATTTATGTGTAAAATTTGCCATATTTTCAGTCTATGTGTTGCCATAGCAACCAGAATTTTCAACATAGAAAGAAAAGAAAAAGACGTGCATAATCTCAAGACTGCCATCTACCCATATGTCAAGTTTCATAAAAAATATTTCCAGTACTTTTTGCTTTATCACTGGATCCAGTTTATGTGTAAAATTTGCCATATTTTCAGCCTATTTGTTGCCATAGCAACCAGAATTTTCAATATAGGAAGAAAAGAATAAAAAACGTGCATAATCTCAAGACTGTCATCTACCCATATGTCAAGTTTCATAAAAATATTTCCAGTACTTGTTGTGTTATCACTGGATCCAGTTTATGTGTAAAATTTGCCATATTTTCAGCCTATTTGTTGCCATAGCAACCAGAATTTTCAACATAGGAAGAAAAGAAAAAGACGTGCATAATCTCCATACTGCCATCTATCCATATACCAAGTTTCATAAAAATATTTTCACTACTTTTCAAGTTATTGCGGGATCCAGTTTTGTGGACGGACGGACTGACGGACTGACAGACGGACGGACGGAGGGTAAACCTAAAGTCCCCTCCGGTAAACCGGTAGGGGACTAATAATAAGTTCAGAGCAGCAGTTTCTGAACACTGCACTTCTTATCAATAAGATCTATCATACTATGATGGTTCAAGTCCATAGCTTTCATACTTGAGGAGAAATGACCAGGACAAAAATAAAGAAAGAAAATCAACAATGGGCAATAACTCAAAAAATAAGAAATGCAGAGTACCAGTTCTTGTGCACTGCACTTCTTCTTAATGAGATCTATCATCCTATGAAGTTTCAAGTCCATAGCTTTTATACTTAAGGAGAAATGGCCCGGACAAAATTAAAGTATGAAAATAAACAAAGGGCAATAACTCAAAAAATAAGAAATGCAGAGTAACAGTTCTTGTGCACTGCACTTCTTCTTAATGAGACCTATCATCCTATGAAGTTTCAAGTCCATGGCTTTTATTCATTAGGAGAAATGGCCCGGACAAAAATAAAATATGAAAATTAACAAAGGGCAATAACTCAAAAATTAGGAAGTACAGTGTACTGGTTCTTGTGCACTGCACTTTTTCTTAATGAGATCTATCATCCTATGAAGTATCAAGTCCATAGCTTTTTTTGTTGAAGAGAAATGGCCCGGACAAAATTAAAGTATCAAAATTAACACACAAAGGGCAATAACTCAAAAAATAAGAACTGCAGAGTACCGGTCCTTGTGCACTGCACTTCGGGTTATTAAAAGAAGCATGCATACCAAGTTTGAAGTCAATCAGACTTATAGTGACTGAGTTATGCTCCGGACAAGCTTTAGGGGACGCCGACAACGACACAGACGCCGCCGACAAAAGTAACCCCTATTATGTCACCTTTTCAAGGCGACACAAAAATTAGGGTTCTTTGAAAAAACACTTTCCTTCACTTGATTATTTTCGCTGTGTAAAAGTTTAATCAAATTTCATCAACTCTTTTCCAGTATTTCTCTGGACAAGCATAATTAAGTACATGTATAATAAAGGTAGATAATTAAATAAGAGGGCCATGATGGCTCTGAGGTTGCTCACCTGTATATACCCCCCTCCCCATCCTGCAGGGCCAGTTTTAATCCAAGGGCTTTTATTTGAACAAACTTGGAAGAATCCATAAGAAGATGATTCATGCTAAACATCAAAGCTCTAGTTTATTGGGTTTTTTTAAAGAAGATTTTTTAAGTTTTTACTAACACATACTGTTAAAAACAATGACAACCCTGGCGCAGGGCCAGTTTTGACCCCAGGGCTTTTATTTGAACAAACTTTGTAGACACTCACTAGAAGATGTTTCAACTTATAATATAAACTCTAGCTATTTGGGTTCTTTAAAAAAGATTTTTGAAATTTTTACTATATGCATATAGGGAAAATCAATGATCCCCTGGGGCAGGGCCAATTTTGACCCCGGGGCTTTTATTTGAACAAACTTGGTAGACACTCATTAGAAGATGTTCATGCTAAATATCTTAGCTCTAGCTCTTTGGGTTCTTTAAAAGAAGATTTTTAAGTTTTTACTATTTGCATTTAAAGAAAATTAATGACCTCCTGGGGCAGGACCAATTTTGACCCCAGGGCTTTTATTTTAACAATCTTTGTAAACACTCACTAGAAGATATTTCATGCTAAATATCTTAGCTCTAGCTCTTTTAGTTTTTTAAAAGAAGATTTTTTTAAGTTTTTACTATATGCATTTAAAGAAAATTAATGACCCCCTGGGGCAGGACCAATTTTGACCCCGGGCCTTTTATTTGAACAAACTTGGTAAACACTCATTAGATGATGTTTCATGCTTAATATCTTAGCTCTAGCTCTTTGGGTTCTTTAAAAGAAGATTTTATAAAGTTTTTACTATATGCACATAGGGAAAATCAATGACCCCTGGGGCGGGCCAATTTTGACCCCAGGGCTTTTATTTAAAAAACTTGGTAGACACTCACTAAAGGATGTTTCAAGCCAAATATCTAAGCTCTAGCTCTTAGGGTTTTTTTAAAGATGATATTTAAAGTTTTTTTCTTTCGGTTCCCATGGCAACCAGAGTTCAGCATGGAATTAAATTCTTTGCACAATTTTTAAAGGTGACAGCCAAAGGAACATTCTTGTGAAGTTTGGATGAAATTAGCGTAGTGGTTTATGAGGAGATGTCATTTAAAGTAAAAGTTTACGGCCGGACGAAAAGGGATCACAAAAGCTTGACCTGTCACTTTGTGACAGGTGAGCTAAAAACTAAGGAATGGAGTTATGGTTCTTTGACACATTGGAAAATTCGAGTCGTTCAAGTTGATGTAGATTCAGTGATAGTTTGGAATAAGCATTTTTAACTTAAGGGATATAAATTAAAACATGAAGCAAGGTAGAGTTATGTTTCTTGAACATTGCACTTCCTCTTAAAAGTCTCTATCACTTTGTGAAGTTTACATAAAATCCCTTCAATACATATCTAGTTATATTCATATTTCGGACAAGAGTGTGAAGGACAAATGTCTTCCTAAGTACAGACTATGTTTTTTTTCCTTTATCAACTAAAATCTCAAAAACACCATTAAAAAACATATTTTCCTCCCATGAGCAACCTTTTTCCCCAAAAGTACAAGTCTGTATGGAATGAACACAGATATTTATCCAGAATATTACTTGAGTCCATACCGACAGATGGTTAAGACCGCAACTATATTCTCTCCCTTTCAGGAGCATAAATTATAATAACATGCTAAATCTCTGTATAGTTCTATATCAGATACCAGTATGATGAACCTAACTTTTGTACCATTTAAGTTATAGCAAAATTCAGCTTTTCATTGACATACAGAAATGGGTCAGCCTTTAGTCCCCTCTTAATGAAAATAGAAGGGGACTAATAACAACAATTTATTCTCATAGTTTCAATTCTCAGGTTTATTACTTATCATTACACCAGGCAAGCTAAGATACATGTTAAAACCACAGGCACTATATACCACATTTACCCATATACGCTCATAATACTATATATAAAGAATAAAGGTCCCTAACGAGAGAAATATATCATGCAAAACAAACAAGAACTGTTCGGTAAAAATACACCAGATCACTATTTTATCTTTGTGGTTGTCTCTAGGAATAATGTATCCTATCATAAACACTTTTTACTTCATCGAAATCCTACAAAATGCTCCACAATACGAGCAAGTTTCCAAATTTCACTGAAATGTCATTGCATGTCGTTTTCGACGTCCAAGCGATGCGTGTAAACAAAGGTGAACTCTGGTCAATTTCTACAAAATCAACGAATAACTGTTAAGATTTCGACATACTTTCTTTAAGGCAACTTGTATACACTCAAACTGCGATGTCTTTACTTCACAACTGTCCGACGATAACACTAACAAGCTAAAAAATTAAAAATAATTGACAGCTCCGTTCCAGAAAGTAACCATTTCCTACATTACCGCACTGAATATAAGGTAAAGTAATGATTGGTTAAGCGGAAAATCCGAGTTTTAACATTTTCCTTCAACACAATGTTCATGACTGGCCTTTACTATTGACAGGGGATTCAATTCAGACTAGCCCTCTAAAATACTCCAACTAGTCCAAAGTGTTAATGGTGCCTATACAGTTATGATCACTACATCTGGAAACTGGAGATTCCCACCGAGTGTGATGCTTATCTTCATTCGCTTGACAGTGACACATGTCCACCTTAAAAAAAAGCAATAAAAATTATATGAAGTGCAATAATTTGCAAAAAAAATGCTTATCTTATTTGTCTCTTCTTACACTTATAATGCAGAGCACTAGATTTGTGTGTCTGTCATACAAAATGACTTTCAATAATACTATTTAAATATATTTGAAAAACAATTTCTTTAATAAATACTCATAGTAATACTAAATTCCTTTTTTGTGATATTTTTTCTGACACATATGTGCAGACAGTACATTGTGTACACCGGTCTTACTGACCTGTGTGAAACCATTCTAAGCATGATGCCAAGAAAATTTTGGACTTGTGAGAGGCTGTAAATGACCCCAGATTGATCATAACTTCATAACCTAACTTGTAACCAACGTTGAAAAGCTTTTGACTATATCTCAATCCATTGAGAAGTGGCATCACTTTGAAATCAATTTTGATTGAAAAAATCGAGGCAAAATAGTGATTTTGGGCAATTTTGAGATGTCCCCTCGTTGCCATTGTAACAGAAAATTTAAGCCTGAGCATGTTGTTGCAAGGGCAATGGTCCAGTCAACATTTGTGCCAAGTTTGATTAGTGTTGAAGCATTTTTTATAGTATTATAGCAATTTGAACTTGTAACGGGAGACTTTTCAATGAAAACAGCCATTTTTCACAAAATGCTCATGAAGTAATGGGTTAAGAAATTTTGCATCTTGATTGGGAAAAATATTTAGTACCATGTACAAAGTTGTTAATCCAACAAATTGTATATCATTCAAAGCATAAAAAATACATAAAAAATTGACAATGGAATGTGTTTTTGAACATCATCTGTCTGGTACCATATTGGATTGAAATGGAATGAAGAAAAATTGTCAGCTTTGATAACGGGAATTTTGACTTATGATTTTTTTCTAAACTTGGAAAAGAAAAAAAGCATATTTGGCATTATTTGCCACTGGGAATGGGTCTGTTAATCTGACCCGTGGTGACACTGGTAAAAATGCATGTTTTCATTATTTTTTTTTGGAAAACAGTTTGGTTGGTGAAATATACATTAAATATTATATAAGTACCTGTTGTTTGTAATAATCTTCTAGTCTTCCTTTAATCTTATACTGTACTTTTTTCTAGCTACATGTACCAGCCTTTCCAAGTGAATATTAAAGTAAATAATCTTTTATTTCCCTGAAAATATCAATTTAGAGATTTCATTTTCAAAATCATCCAATACTACTCTCTTAGTGTGTGTATATACAGAGACATATAAATACATTTTATGTATTTTAACGTCTCTGGTATATACAATGTATATATGTGTCTATACAATGTATATATATGTTTACACTATAATATGATTGTGTACAGCATGTAATGACATAATTAAAATTTGAAAAATTTATGATAATAAAATTAATAATATTTCTTCATATTACTCCACAGTATTACCACTAAAATAGAAAATGTTCTATCATTTATTATGATATCTATTTTTTACATGTAGATTTGTGAAAAAAATGTGAATATCAGTAGTGTCAAAAATTGTTAAATCATATAAAATGTCTAATTAACACTGATAAATTACTTCAACCATGTATTGAGAACAGGTATAGATCATTTCCAACAGTCTTGCTGTTGTGTTGACATTTTCGCGACATGGTTGTGTGTCTGCCTTGTAATCAAGAGGTCTGGGGTTTAAATCCCTTTAAGTGCCTGAAGATTTTTCAGGTTAACAATTATCAAGGTGGCAGTGATTTTTTTTTTTCAACTTTCAAAACAACCTGTGGCTTTATAAATGGGAAACTATAGCTTGATTAATCAGAAAAGAGGAAAAATTTCAACCACTGAAAATGGAATTTACCCATACATTTAAAAAAAAGTGTTACTCAATTTAAAGGGGTTCCATTGAGGTATTTTGTCATGATGGGACTGAAATATCTTTTCCAGATAAATGTACCGTTTGATGAATGTTTAGAACACTAATCTTTGTACAAACCTTTAGATCATTTGCGCACTTCGTTTTTCCAGAATAATTATTCAAATTGTAAAAAGATGACGCAAAATGAAATGGCTAGACTTTAAATAGATATCCTGGTTGTACTATCTACCGGGAGTGTAAGCCTTATTTGGCCCACCGTCAGATAATACAAAAAAAATCTAATATAAAATAGTTATTTTCTGTAGGAGGTACCATTTTTTGATGAAAATAACAAATATCTAAAAGAAATTTTAACTATACATCAAAAAGATAGTTCTGTTAATGGTAATGTAACGATTCGCCACACTAACGATTTGCCACATAACGATTCGACACAGAGTAATAACGATTCGCCACAGTTAAATAACGATTCGCCACGTGTTCAAATACATTTTTTTTTCACATCTGTTTTCAAACTGTTGATGGAAAACTTTTTTCCATTTTATATTTCATTTGTTAATTACATAAATTAATTACACTAAATACACATTTTATTGAATGAAAACACACGAAAACCAATATTTTATTAACAAAATTACATAACACATTTTATAACTTCGTTATTTATATAAACTGGAAAAAATATACGTGTACGTACATTTAGTTTGTCTTGTAATTTGTCTTTGAATTTCTGAATATATTTAAATGCCATTATGTTTGTAATGTTTAGTACACGGACAATCTTTAAATATGACATTTTTTAAATGGATAAATCATGCCTTCTACTACCTTTAAGGTCTTTTCTAGTAGATGTTTCATTGCCTACTTAAGTTATAGCCATACCTACAATTAGAAGAACTTCTTACGAATACAAACAGAACGTGTAAAGCGCATTACAACATAAAATATTACTATTGCGAACTTTTGGAAGGAATTTGAATTTGACCATCTTTTGAATTTCATGAAAAAAAATCTTGAAAGATTTTTCCAGCATTCTAAAGGATTTGAAAGTTAACTAATCCCGTTTGCGTCTACAGCTTTCTTTTTCTAGACATTGAATCAATTTGAAGGTATTAAATTGTAATGGCTAAAGTTATAAAAATAGATAAAAAAATGTCTACAAATTTATGTGGGTATTTTATCTTTATTTATTTATATTATTGTTTTAATGTCATTTAATAATGTACTGGAAATAAAATTTCAAATGTCATAGATGCATATGGTCTACGAAATAAATGTGGTCTCAAAGACTACTAAACAACGGATAATTAGCCGAGAACATTTTTGGCAGCCTTTCTGTTTTATGTGACATAAATCAATTCAACTTAAAAGACATATATAATGTTTTAAGTCACATTGAACACATTGATTTTAACAATTTTTGAAAAAAGTTACAAGGACTGTTCTATCTCCAAATGTTTTCTTAGGTTTTTAAGCAAGGAAATATTAAAATCCACAAATCTTTAACGATATTGAGTTGTTCTCCGACACCACGTTAGTAGTTTTTAAATTTTCAAAATCCGACAATTAAAATAAAAAGTTATGCAATACTAAATCTTTATATGCTTTTTTCTCAAAAACAAAAAAAATGGCACTGAGAACAAAACGTTTTTTCAAGCGACGCTGTGTTTCCACATTTTATACATGATGCCATCTAAAATTTGACACTTGCCACATGTTACAGCACGTGGGTTACTGTAGATACATCTTAAACAGAATGAACAAGGAGGAGCTGGCATGATTCTGATTTCGTTATTTTTCGTTTGTATACTATTTTATGTATGTGTTTAAGCTATTTAAACCCTCTTAATCGGCATATATCGGCTCGCTCAAATTAATTTGTAAACAAACATAAGCTTAATTGCCGCATTGTTTTGAAATCTGAATACATTGTCAGATAATTAAAGGATTATTTCGGCGTCAATTAAATATTTCTACAACAATCCTAAGGTGATTGGCTTATCGTAAATCAATTTTCGTATGAACACACGTTTTTGCAATACTTTGTTTAAATATTTGACATAAATTATAATATATGAACTATATATTTATATATAAATATTAATTGACATATAATTATGTTTATGAGTAATTCAATAATTATTTCAACATATAATTACTTTCTTGTTAATGTACTCCTGTAATAATGTTACTTTGATATTTAAAATTGAAAATCCGCGATGGGGGCCTTAACTTCATATTACTTGTATTAAGAAACATTATTAAATTATTGTCATTGTCAAATTATTAAAACAAAAGGAAAAAGTTTGTTGATTACTAAAAAATCATTGTTATAATAATACTGTGGCGAATCGTTATTTAACTGTGGTGAATCGTTATTACTCTGTGGCGAATCGTTATGTGGCGAATCGTTAGTGTGGCGAATCGTTACTAATTCCTGTTAATAACCTCTTATGAGTGGCAGCCATTTTTGTTTTTAAGTACTTAATACCAGGAATGACTTTTAAGCAATCAATAAAAAGTTAAAAACATATGTACTGTAAATGGTCCATTGCTGTTAATGATACTAAAGTTCTATTCAATATTTATCAGTCATCACACAGTAAAAGGGTAATAATTTGATAAGCATTTGCACACACATTCAAAATATCATGATGGGTCCAAATTGTTAGCAATATTACTGGTTTTTATACGTAAAACACATTTATGTGAATAGGGTTATTAAAACTTTGAATTTTCTTCAAAAAATGCTATATTTTGTATGAAATTAATGTGAAAAACACTTGCATACAAAAGAATTTTTTTATGTAAGTATTGTTTGTAATATCTGGACATTCCCGGTACAAAGTACCTCCCGGTATAAAGTACCTTGAGGATAGATATATAATAATTTATAAAGGTCAAAATAAAATTATTCTGAAATATTCAAGAATGTGCCCCATTTGGTAGAGACGTAACGGCCGTGACAAGACCAAAAAATTGTAGGCGTATATGCCGGTTTTCCTGTAAAGGCAGACATCTGTGTAATATCAATTTGTAAAATCTGTCGGTTTTGCAGTCTATGTATGATCGAAATGTCTTGGGTACGAAAGACTCGAGATCTCCAAATTACTTCGAAATTATTTACGAAAGTTTTAGTCCTTGGAAACAAATTGGCATCAATAAATAAACTTAATATTATTAGTCATCAAATTCATAACATATTTTGCTTTATTACATACCTTATGAGCTTAACAGGCTGCTAATTATGCTCGTGAAGTAGGTCGAAAAGTATACCGGAAGTTGTCGGATTCATTTAACCTAATTATCGGCTAATTCAGAGACGAATAGATTATTTACATCTCTGGCTAATTCTATTTCAATATCCACTTTGCAATTATAAACTACAAAATTTATCCGATAAATAATGTCTTTTTCAAAAATTCTGGAATATAATACAAAAAAATGTGATGATAAGGCGGATGAGTAAGTTAAATATTGCAAGCGGTCAAGCACTATGACCCAATTAATTTACTATCCCATTCATAGAATTATGTGACCTTTCAAATTATATCCGCTACGTTTCTAATACCGTAATTCAAGCTCAATTGCACATTATTTTCAAAAAATCAATTTCTTGTCTCCACTTCTGTTCGCAATAAATCGAAGTTTTCAGAAATTCAGAGCACTATTTTTCACTCGCGGCGGTTATGCGTCGGTCATGGTCGGGTGATCACTATGAATTCAGCTTACGTTGATATGTTAGAATACAATATAGCATTTAGAGTGGCGATGAAACGTCACAGCAGTGGGCGTTACCCTGTATGGTTGGAAATTTCGGGTTTGTAAGTGCACTAGTTGGGACTACGTCCCAACTAAAAACGATGTCACATGTGTGCTGTGTTATTTTGGTTAGATTTGGTAACGGGTCTGGTGCCTTTAATGTCTTATATACTATGTTTATGCTCAAAGTTGGTGCAAATGTTGGTCATTTGCTTGTTGAAAGTTCACATATGGTTTAATCGGGGTATAATTAATTAATGTTCAAGACATTAGGATAGACCATTACGAGCTCTGTGACAGGTGGCGCCGGATTATTGGCACAATACCGTCCAATACCGTCATGTCACAGTATAAAGCGAGTACAACTAGTACGGACGTAACGAAATTTTTGTGTCATTAATTTTCAACAAATGGGCAGATCTGATGAGTAGCATTTTATTCGGTTTATCAAAAGGTATGCAGTGCACACCTGACCATTCCTTCACAGCCATTTACGCGTACGTTAAACATCGCTTTTTTCGTTGAAATAAACTATTTTTCTTACTGAAGGAATTATTGATTTAACCAGCCTGATCACAAATTGTCACACTATCAGACACACGTGGATTGTATACAGTAGCGCCAACCATTTCTCCCAAGTCATCAATTATTGTAGGTAATTACCATATGGGAACAAATTTATGTTGGCAACCCCTTTCCATCAAGCTGTCATAGGGAATGTTTTCACAACCTGTATCAATCAACCGTTTGTTTAAGTAATTTATACATTAGATATGAAACTATAATTGTTTGCCTCACTAATTGTCTTTATTGACGACATTTTCCCCCGAAAGTGTGTTAATATTGTAGAGGCGACTTCAGACGACATATTTATTGACCTGTTAGTATTTTGATGTTTTCAGCTTCTTTCATAGAATTTACAGCTGTTATAATAAACGCTATTAATTCTGTTTTAATATCATTTTACTCAATGACAATGTCATGTTACACAGTATCAACAGTTAGTAATACATGTAATTCTATAAGTAAAGTTTGAAAGTAAAGTTGTTTTCAATACATATAAGATTAAGAAGAAACTTTATCTTTCTAGTGGTTTCAGCCATGTGTGTTTTGATACTAACACGACCTTCCAAAGTCTTATTTAAGAAGGCATGCTCCTTAAATATTTATAATAATAACGATACAAAATTTTATAAAGAATACCTAGGATTAATTTTTAATATCTGTAACGTAATTAATAGTCATATTTTATACACATTTCTGAAGACATGTTTCTTAAATACCACACCTTTTAAAATACATTTCTGTTAATACTCATTTGAAGAGATGTTCACTTGAATAAATAATTTTAGACACTCGTTTAAAGATCAGTTCATAAAATACTTGATACAATGACATGTTAATATGACACTCAACCTGAAGCCATGTTTCTTTAACATCCAACCAGGGAGCATGTTTCTTACAGACTGACCTTGAGCACAGGTGTCCGGCGCATTGATTGGTTGAAGCTTTTGAAAATTGGTGAAACAATGTTGGAGTTATGGAGTACATATTAAGATAAATGCGAGTTGCATACCTTTACTTAATATATATGTATCGTTTTTTTGTGGGAAATGACGGAAATTGAATTAAAAGCATATATCACATATTAAAACATATTTCAAATGAAAAATACTGCAGTTTACATGGTTTTTGAGAGGTAGGAGGGTGTGGGTAGAGTGGATAAGGGGCGGTAGTGATAAATCAACGAGCCAAACACCTGTGACCTGGAGGCGTGCTTATATAACACTTACCTAAAGAAATGCTCCTTCAACACTCAACCGGAAGCCATGTTTCTTTAACACACAACCATCTACAGGTCTTGAAGGAACTTGTCATTCATCAAGACTAAATTCTGTGCTTGAAACGTGTTCATAAAACAGCGTGTTCTCATTTATCAAATTACTGATTTCCTGCAATGAAAACGCGCTGCTCCAAAACTAAATCACGTGCTGTTACACGTGATAACACTCTTTCAGGTTCTTTTTCCATTACACCAACTTCCTGTTTCTGATCAATAACTGTTTGATCCACATTAACTGTCTAATTTTTCAATTACAGTACGATAGTACACCTGTTTCAAACAGGGATGTTATATTAGTAAATGATAGAAATACTACAGGTCGCCGTCACTTCTCCATTCATGCAGTATGATTAATAATTGTTAATTAGAGAACACGGATCAATTTGAGGTTTGTGGGTTTTATCCAGACTCAAAAATGGATGTTGAAATTCGCTCATTTTCTTAGTCGTTCGTGTAAAATTGCTATATTTGATACAAGAATTTGGTACAAAAACAAGGTTCTGGTATATCTCAGCTGAACTTAACCCTACTCATCTCATTTATTCGTGACATAAGCCACTGGTACTTGACACATAAAATTTGGTGTGTACACAATAGTTACATTAAATTTAGAATAAGTAAATAAATTATGTTAACATACTACATGTAAATTGTTAAGCCGAAAACATATATGTAAGATGTCAACAATATTTTGTTATTTAAGTTCTATCTATTCTATCTATTTTTATTTTATTGTTTTTAAATGTACGAAGTATATTTATTATGATAATTCTACTGATTAACATTTAAGAATAATAATCATGAATGTTGTAAATGTATTTTAATTGTGTAAGATGTTGCACAAAAATATATACTTAAAATGCTTATATATTAAAACATATTAGCTAGTAGTCAACAAATTGTTATTAGAATTCCATAAAGATTTCTTTTCTTTCTAATGAGTAAAAAATGTATGAAGCTGTGTTTCTTATTAAGATATCATTTGTACTACTTCACAATATACTGTACGAAATTTTATAAAAGATGGAACAAGAAAATACTTTTTTTGAAGGTATAAATTTCTTAAATCTTGCAATTAAAACATAAAGTGTAACTCTTCATCAATTTCAGACCTATTGCATAATTCACACAGTCTGTGTTCTCTCAGAATACCTTAATGTCTGCCTAATTCTAATTCAAAAGCAAGAGAGCCAGCTCGAAGTTGAACATAGCAATGTCTAAATTTACGTACAAATAAAATATCTAAGTAATAATCATGTTCATAACTTAATTGACTGACAATTTTGATTCGACAACGTTAGCGCTATACCAATTTTGCAAATATTGGGACTTAATCCTTTCAATAAACTCTTTGATAATTGTGCCACACATAGCTAAAACCATGAAAATCCAACAAATGTTTTATCTCTTTGGCCCAATTAAAATGAAGATCTGTGTTTGTGTCCAATAGAAAATTAAATAATTTTTTACATACCTTGTATCGGGCAAATTAATTATTTTTTAACCAATACTTCAATTAGCGCACATGAGAATATAATAGGGAGGATAACGCCCACATTCCCTAGTGAAAAGGCATTTAATGTTTTTTCATTCACATATAAGTGTTTTACATGCAAGAGTATGTACCTGTTCAATACATTTATACTCTTTGAAACCCCAAATTTCGCTACCATAAAGCAGGACCGGTAACACCTTGCTGAAAAAACGGAATTTGGTAATTGGCCACATTTATATATAGGAGATAAAATACTACTGAAAACGCGTTTACCTTTGGACACATTTTCATTGACCATATCATTTAAAGAATGAGCTTGAAAAAAAAGAAACTCCATCATAAGTAAACGACTATACAACTTTGAGCTTATTACCAGCAAAGTGCCAATGTTCCGAAGCCTCTTGACCATGACCTTAGTTTTTTATAAGTAGAAAATCTGCTTCCATTAGACCATTTTAAACTGCATAGGTCTTGAAATAAAGAAAATACTATCACCAAGGAAACATTTCTCTTGCAATATTCCCCTCCAAATATAGCTATCTTTCTCTATATATAACATATTACCAACTTAATGAAATACGTTTTTGTATATGACGCTAACTGAATCGAGATGATTCTTGAAATTTATCTGTAGAAACACAGTTAATTAAATTCGCTCTTTTTCTTCGACGTTTATACATCGTTTCTTGTGAGCTTTAACACATTCCTACACATGCAAATGAAATCTTTAAATCTCAAAGGGGAATTCCCCTCACCAAAATTTGTTTTAAATTATCTAGTTGTAGACAAAAATGTCTATCCTTATAAGACTGAAATTTGGGACGTGACGATTTATTGGCCAACTGATTGCAATAAACGTTGCTTTCTGTCGAAATAAATTCATTTAAGGGTTAAATAGAGAAACAAATTCTGCATTTTTGCGATGCATTTTATATTTTACACAAATCCTTACATTCGAAAAATAGGAAGAAATAATTGCAAAATAATCATCAGTGACCCCACTTCTTTGTGGAATAGTAACAGTTATTTACAATAAAGATAAAAGGATGATCTCGGTGCTTTTATACAAATAAAATATAAATTGTCGATATTGTGCAATATAAGTGTTTTAGACAGCCTTCAATTGAAGAATTTTACTGAACAATTTACGCGTTACATATCATCTGTTGAATTTAGCGTGTAAAGTCATTTCTGTATGTAACGCGTGGCATTCAGAAAATTTGACAGTTGGAAAAATCGATAGTCTATCTTTTCCAATGTCGTCTGATTTGTATGCGATGAACGCTGAGAATTGCGAGACTTTTATCCTTATCCCGGCGTTCTCTACAAAAAAGCCCTCACGCATAAGATTCAGTATGCAAATTTTGTTTTGTTTTATGTTCTAGAACATTTTTCATTCTCTTCTGTCTCATGTATTTATTTTCTTTCATTTTCCGGCCTACATAAATTTTATTTATCGTTATTTAAGCCTTTATCTTAGTTAATTCATTTTTTAAGTTAATCAGTGGCCAATCCCTTAAAAAACTTTTGTGCCGCATACAATTCCAACACTACAAAATTTTAAAACTTAATAGTTTATAGAAATCGATCTTAAAATTATTTCAATATTTTTTTAATCATTGTAAACAACTAAACATATGTAAAAGTTTTCTTTGCTATAAAATCGCGAAATATGTGCAATGATAATTGAAAAAGACAACGCAAGCATTTTTAAAAGGTTGAACGTTTGTTTTCAGTGCAAACTTTAGATGAAGTTAGCCT